TTTGTTTCTGATTTACAGCATCCGCAGTTCTTTCAGTTTTTATAAAGCGACATAGTTTATTGTTGAACACCAAAACAGAGCCGCCTTTTGTGTTGTACATAGATTAGATTGGGTCAGTGATATATGCAGGCCCATTCCTGAGTCTCTTTCCTTTCTATGTTTAGAAATGCTCTTACACCCAATTCAAAATGTTTTCTCCCCATCACCCAATCACCTGTGGTATTTTGTTTTCTTTTATTAACTACTAACAGTAAATCACTCGGGTTTTCTGTTATAGAGTCATAGAGCAGGCAAACAGGCTGTTCGGCCCAACTCATCCATCCTACCAGGTTTCTCAAACTGAGCTATTCCTGTTTGCCAGCATTTGGCCCATATCCCTCTAAACCCTTCCTATTCATGTACCCATCCAGATGCCTTTTAAATGTTGTAATTGTACCAGCCTCCACCACTTCCTCTAGCAGCTCATTCCATACGCTCACCACCCTCTGTGTGAAAATGTTTCCCTTCAGGTCCCTTTTAAATCTTTCCCCTCTCTCCTTAAACCTATGCCCCTCTAGTTTTGGACTCCCCCACCCTGGGGAAAAGACCTTGGCTATTCACCCTATCCATGCCCCTCATGATTTTATAAACCTCTACAAGGTCACCCCTCAGCCTCTGATGCTCCAGGGAAAATATCCCCAGGCTATTCTGCCTCTCCCTTTAGCTCAAACCCTCCAACCCTGGCAACATCCTTTTCTGCACCCTTTCAAGTTTCACAACATCCTTCATGTAGCAGGGAGACTAGAATTGAACGCAATATTCCAAAAGTGGCCTAATCAATGTCCTGTCCAGCCGCAACATGACCTTCCAACCCCTACTCTCAATGCATTGACCAATAAAGACAATGATGCTAAACATCTTCTTCACTATCCTTTCCACCAATAGTTTTGAGGCAGAGGTGGATTGGTTGTTGACTAATGGCAGAGTCACAGTGATTGGGGTCGGTAGGGGTAGAATTGAGGCCAAAATTAGATTGGCCACAATCGCATTGAATGGCCTACACCTGCTCTTCATTTGTATCCCTCCAACACAGTCCAATGGCAGGCGATAGAGCAGGAGAGAATGTCGCTGTCTCCACCATCACTATCCACAGCTTCAGGCTACAAATGCCTGTAGAAAGGCATGCATCGTCAACTCTGAGTGAACTGTGGCACAGTAAACAGGCTACCAAACCATTTGAACTGACGCTGGAAGTCTGGGTTCATCTGAGCCACCTTTGAACCTTGGCACAGAGGTGAAAGGTCAGTGCCAACACCAAGGAGGCAGAGGGAAATGTTAATGGTCGTAGTGCAATGCAGAAAGGTTTTCTTTCTGTCGATTTCTGCAAAGAGCAACTTGGCAGCTCCCACATTGTGAACGTTGGCTCATTCACCTTTCAGGGAAGGAGCACTGAAAGATGTGTGACATACCGGTGTTCAGCGCTCAAACTGGACGGTGACCACAAATCACCGCAGATGCCTGTGTCCATCCGAAATAACGTGGTGTAGTAATGTGAAAGAGGCAAAACAGGACAGAAGGGCTCGATCGCAGCTCTGTGCTGAGTCAACTCCCAAGTCAGCGGCACACTGACACCTACTGGAATCTCAGCTCAGGGGCCAGGAGGCTGCCATGGTCAAACAGCCCACTCAGAAACACGAGCGAAACCTCTCCGATTTTAAACTCTGGGCTTATTAATTGAATTCAAATCCCCTCGGATGCAAATTGGGATTTGAACCTCTGTCCCCAGTACGTTAACCCTATGGATTCACTAATTCTAGAGCCATAGAGACGTAGAGCACGGAAACAGACCCTTCGGTCCAACTCGCCCAGATATCCTAAATTAATCTAGCACCATTTGCCAGCATTTGGCCCATATCCCTCTAAACCCTTCCTATTCATGTACCCATCCAGATGCCTTTTAAATGTTGTAATTGTACCAGCCTCCATCACTTCCTCTGGCAGCTCGTCCCACACATGCACCACCCTCTGTGTGAAAAAATTGTCCCTCAGGTCTCTTTTAAATCTTTCCCCTCCCACCTTAAACCTATGCCCCTCTAGTTTTGGACTCCCCTACCCTGGGGAAAAGACCTTGTCTATTCACCCTATCCATGCCCCTCATGATTTTATAAACCTCTATAAGGTCACCCCTCAGCCTCTGATGACAGGAGTGTTATGACCCCATCTCCTGTGAAAATACACCATGTGAAGTGGTCACTTTTTGATTTCCTTTATTCCTGCGTGGCACGGATTTGTAGCCCATCCCTAATTGCCCCTTGATTGGAGGCATTTCCAAGGGAAGTTAGGAGTCAACCTCGTCGCTGAGGGGCCTGGCATCACGTGTAGCCCCAGACTGGGTAAAGATAGCAGATTTAGCCTACCTGACATGAGCCAAGATGCATTTGATAATATTTTACGGTTGCAATTCCAGAGTTAAGTGAATTCAAACTCTTCCCAGCTGCTGCGGTGAGGTTTGAACCCATGAACCCCAAGTGTTAATTGCAGCCCTTGGATTGCTAGACCATGAGTGGGTGCAAGTGATTTGCAAAATGAATGGCAATGGAGATAAGCATTTGTAGAAAGGAAACATATGGTAACACTTTCACGTCTCTAAACCTTCGTAATTAATCTTCCCTTCTGGAATCTGTTGGGCCCAGTATTGCATTGGAAGGAATAAAGGGTTCAAGGTTAGGGGTTAGAGATAGCGCTCTGACTGGATTGGTTTGGGAGATTTTTTCTTTTCTCTTGATGTCGATACAGAAGCGAGCTGGGGAGTTCTGCATTGAAGGGGTTACACAGAATGATGATAGGTCAGAGCTGAAATGGGGATTTCCAAAGGAAACTGAATTTTTTTTTTTGTTTTCTGTCAACTTGTTGGACAGGGACCAGCTCAGAAGAAGGGTGAGATTAAGCACAGGGTGCTTTCCGCTGTTAGTAAATCGGTAAAGCCTGAAAGGTTTCGCTAAGTCTAGGGTAAAAGCAACACCCTGGGCTCTGCCACTTACTCTGTGTTCCTCGACAGAAGACTCAGTCCCGTCAGGGGGTGAGTACAGATCTGAGACATGACTGATGGATTAACCTGGGTCCTAAGGAAGGGTCTTGATTTGATTTCAGCCTGACCCTGTTATGCCTCGACCATTTTATTTAAGGTAATTGAGTTCCTCTGTCATTTCAAGTTGAGATGAATCCGATGCAGGGTTTTATCCCTGTTTGTGCAGGTGCAGAATGTGGGATCCGACTGAGTGCAAACAACAGGGTTTCAGAGTGAACAATGGGATCAATTATTTTTCCTGGTTTGGCAATGTATGGGAGTCTGCTGTTTTTACACCTTGTGTGGATTTGGAAGTGAGCTGATCAGAGTGCGCACAGGAGGTTGGGAGGGGAGGGGGGTTTGAAGGAGTTGGGGGGAGATGATGAAATTATTGCTGCCGGTGGGAAAAGAGGAAGGTGAATTTTCATTGCAGTAGTGCCGTTCACAATCTCAGAATGCCCCGAGCTACTGGAGAGCCTCTTAATTTGCACTATCACTGTGCAGGGCTGAGATGGAGAGAGAGTTAGATGGTGCAGAGCAAGCTCCCATAGTCAGCTCTGTATTAATGACTGGGGTAGCCTGTTTGTCGTAGTGGTGCTAGGTCAGAGGTAAATATTGCACCAGGTCACCAAAGGAGGGCTGACCCTCCGACAGTGCAGCACTCGCTCAGCATTAACTTTCCACAGTGCGGCGCTACCTCAGCACTGCCTCTGACAGTGCAGCACTCCCTCAGTACTGATCCTCTGACAGTGCGGCACTCGCTCAGTACTGATCCTCTGACAGTGCGGCACTCGCTCAGTACTGATCCTCTGACAGTGCGGCACTC